TTTATTTGTAATATTTATTTTTTATAGAATTATAATTATATAACAACAACCGAATGTTGGGTTCTCTTTAGCTTTAACATATAAAAAAATAATTAATTTTATTTGTAGTTTGTATTAAAAATGATTTCGATCTATCCAGTATAACTATTCAATATTTATTTTGTATTGAAAATAATACTAAATTAACAAATGGTCTTTATTCACAGACAACGCTAAAAAATTACAGAAGCGAATTTAAAGAAATATTAAAAATCGAATTAATACGAAGATTAATTAAATGTTCTATCATTATTTAAGTCTAAAAATTCAATTATGCCATAATGTTGAGTCGTGGTAACTACTTATTGTTCACCATAAGAATAGCGATAAGAAGAAAGATAAGCCCTAATTTATATCTTATGCTCGATTTTTAATTCTGATCCACCAAAATAAAAAGCACCAAGGTTATTTAAATATTATTATATGCAGTATTTTTAAAAATTTTTATTAAGACATTTAACACCTGCGATAATTTATGATTCTGATTTTTAAAACCCTTATACATATAGTGACTTTCTCGGTACTTTAACGTTCTTTCCTCTTCTTTTTTTACATTTTGTAAATATTGACCGATATCGGGTAAGTCATATAATTGGTTTACAAGGTTAAATATGTCCTCAATAGAAGGTGAGCATGGGAGAAGCTCACAGTTCTCAATTTTTTTAATAGCTTTTACCTTTTCATCATATTTTCTTTTTGTTTCTTCAAGACTTTCAAGGATTTCGGTATTATAATCTTTAGAAGTGTTGACTTTCATTTTTTCAAGGCGTATTATATGTTCGAGGTATTTTGCGTATGAGTCATTAAAACTTGCAATTGCATTTTGCGTTAGAAATTGTGTAAATTGAATTACAATATCGTCAACTGTATTTTTTTGTGCTTTTAATTGGTCGATCTTTTCTTGGAGCATTTCTATGTGGTTTTGCTTGACAGTTTGATCTAATTTATTTTCAGAGATTTTATTTTCTATATTTTCATCAAATTTCTTTGAATATTTAGATATGCTCTCATAAAAATTTGCTTTATGATTTTTCGCAGGGCAACCACAGGATTTACACGTTCCAAAAATCATAACTCCCTTGCGCTTCTGTAAAAATGTGTTTAACATTTTCCACTTAACATGGCAGCTTTCCACTCTTTTATCAAAAATCGGGTTTTGACAAATATTATTTGTGCATACAACTTTGGGCCGTTCTAGAGAAATCAACTCAAGCTCTATATATGGAATGTGCAACTTGCTTTTAAGCTCCTCGTCGGTTAAGTCAGCACTTTGTATTTCTTTTTTTAATTTTTCAATATTAAAAAGATTTTCTTGAATATTTCGGGTTACCACTGCAAGAGGTTTATAAAGGACCGTCACTATTTGCCTAGCATTATTAAGCGATATAGTATCAATAATTTTGTGAGGTGTACAGTTTATTATATGTTGAAGTAGTCTTATAGATTCTTTTACTGATTTTGTCCAACTAGATGCGAACATTTCTTTATCAGTTAATATCATCCCTTTCTTAACTGCTACTAAATATCTAAATGATTCGTTATCAAAACAGTATATTGTTTCTTTACAAATTTTTATTTCAATATCAGACCTTTTTTGAATTTCATCAAGTTGTTCCTTTAACACTGGTAATGTATCTCCTGGACGAAAAAACGTTCCTCTGGTATTAGTAAAACAGAAAATAATATTATCCTTAGCACTTTTATGAAGGTGTGATAATAATTCTTGTATGCAGTATTTAAAAATTATATTTAGTCGAGCATTATTAGGTTTAAGGAGTATGCAAATTCCATTCAGATAGTCGTATTGACTAATACATTTTAAGATATTCTCGAAATTTTTTTTATCATATTCAATGCCTCTGGTATCGCCTATCCCTGGTGTATCAATTAATCTTATAACATTATTTTCGTCTGGATGGAACACATATGCTCCACATTCTTGAGTAGATGACTCACTCATGTCATCTATTGTGTCATTTTCATTTTCATCATCTTCACTAACTATCATTATC